TCCTAGTAGTACGGCCAGGAGCCCCTAGTAGCGTCCTTGCTCCTAGTCGCGATGCCCTTGTTACTAGTAAGTAGTTTCTTGCTATTGTTTTCCAAAGGTTTTGAGATGATCCGCATGCATCCACATACATCCATATCCCTCTCAGTGCTTCGTGATTTCGTGGCTTGTAGGTTGGAGCCCATCGCAAATTTATTCCTTTTTATTATTTGTTCAGGCCATTCAGGTGGGATTGTGGTGCTGTCCCTGAGCGCTTGTTTCAGATTCGTCGCGAAGGATACACCTTGTTGAGCGCCCAACGATGTGCGTCTCAGGATCCAGCAATCAGCAGTGACGCCATGAGCAAGGTGCTGGAGGCCTTGGATGTCAACAATTGAAGATAGGCAAGACATTCCGATTTCTAGAAACGTTTTTCTGGGCTCAGCCAAGATAAAACGCCAAAAAATGACTTCATGGAATCCTGGAATGTCTTGGCACAACGCCCTGTTCCAAATTCACATTACTTGGCAGAGTTCTTTTTGGACTCAAATCTCCTGGCTAGCTTGAGAAGTGGATACCATTCAAAGAAGCATGAAAGCAAGTGGAAAAAAGAATCGAAGAAACAATTCTTTTGGATTTCTCCCCACATCTTCCAACATTTTCGCCATTCTGTTGGAGGGGCACCAAGCTGCTGTCACCCAGGCCATTCGCGAGTGTGTGGCCTGTCTCATGCCTGCCACGTGCTTTGACCGGCCTGAGGAGGTCTTCGGTCCAAGAGTGTCGTTCCGTCGAAACCGCGGAACGACAGGGTCACGGGTTGAACTGATGTGCCTAATAGGAATGGCCTCCAACCTACTAGCCTCTAGCCTGCAAGTACTGTCTGGCCAAGTTAAACCTGGTCTTGGACCTCATTGAGTGCTGGTGTTGTATGACCGGATCCAGTTAAATGAGGTCCTTGACATAGGGTTTTAAGGATGAGAGAGGTTGAGATGTCTTCCAGACTCCCAAAAACTTCAAGAAAGCCGCTGACGCGCACAGGTGCTAACATACTGACAAACCTAGCGGAGCTGCAGCGCCACTTAATTAAGACAACACACTGTTTAGATGATACTAGGTTGGAGGCCATTGCTATTAGAAACAAAGAAAAAGGGAAAGGAAGAAAGGTCTGATGCAGAGTGCTTTTAGGTTGGATTCTGTCGGGGTGGTTTGCTCATTCAGACCCTTGATTGGTGATAGACGCATCAATCTTCACGGGCATGTTGCATATGTTCCTTATCTTCCAACGAAGCAAACGAAGCAAACACTCTGCGTGAAGCTCGTTCTCAAACGTTCTCCCACTCTGCGCCGCGCCCGGAACGAGGCACGTGAACGGGAGCGTTTGATCCGCAGATTCGGCGCTTTGCTCCCGAAGTGGCTCGTGGCCATGTACCGCGAAGAGGTGAAGCAGGCGTGTTGTTCGAGCTGAGGCTAGCCGAGCCGAACTTCGGGTCGGTTCAGCTGATTTAGACCTAGCCGATCACAGATGAGGTGCCGTTCTGACCAAGAGGAGAACGAAAACAACACGGAGCAGGTTGTGCGGTGCGTTGATGTCGTGTGACGTGCGGTGAATTCGCAGGTGGCGGCACGGAGCTGAGGCGAGATCCTGGGTGTGAGCCTGAAGTCCCTTTGCAGGTGGCACTGCAGACACGAATTTCGAGTTTCCTGGAAACATGCAAAAATTTCTGCGTTTCTGACCAGTCTTGACTTTTTCCTGACAGGGCCTCTTCGTCCCTTGCCGCCCTATTCATTGTGAATGAAAGTGGGCACATGTTTTTTAGCGCTCAAGTGTTGGTGCCAGAAGATTGGAAAATAAGCTAGGCATAGCAAGGCCAGCCATTGTCAAACCTTTGCTACTAGTAGCATCCTTGCCAGCAAATTGTTGAAGATCCTCGCGCTGTGATGTCAAATCTCGCTGGCACCAGAGAGTGAAAACTACACTCTGCTGGGGTTTCTCTGCTGGGGTTGTCGCAGAGAAAAAGTGGCTCATGAAGACTCGCCGGCGTTGCATCACCAAAGCACCCAGGTGGACCACCCGGTGAGTCCT